GATTTCTATAATTTCCGTGAAAATGTTCATGTGTGGCAGATGTAGACAAGCGCTTGGCGCGGAAGGAGCTTGGTACCCTCCTTCCCGTGCTTGCTGGTGTACCAAAGGAAGAGCATCCCTTCCATGCTGGTCTCGCCGCCATACTCGAGACCAGTGACTGGCCGCGCAGCTACCCCAACCTTGTGCGGTTGTGGGCGGCTGTGGCGGTGCTTCCCCTAAGCATTGTCGAGTGCGAGAGGGGATTCTCGCGTCAGAATGTCATCAAAAGTTGGAATCACACGAGTCTTTGCAATGGGAAACTAGAGGATCTGATGTGTATGAGTTTGCTGGATTATGACATGGACCGGGACAAGGTCATTGACGTGTTGCGTGGCCTCAAGAAATGCAGACCGAGGAGAGCCTTTCAGAAAGGAAGTCCGCCCAAAAAGACGGCCATGGGCAAGGAGAAGGTGATAGAACTGTCTGAGGAGGAGGACCGTCAGGTAGAGGAGGACAGCTGTGCTAGCAGCAGGTTTAGCTCTAGTGATGATGATGATGGGAACTTCTAGTGTTAGAGCTTTGTATTGCTGTTGCTGCTTCTGATGCAGCTATGATACAGCTAAGTGACCTTGAGCCACAATTTAGGCAATTTATAAATCGACCTTGAGGCGACAGTTTGAACCTAGAAAACAACCCTGACTAATCAGGGTGACACATGGCGTCCAACCCTGACTGCTGCACCCTTCTTTGGGGGCATGCCCTGAGCTGTCAAGATGCCCGAAATCCTATCTGAGGCTCTGGCGTACACGCGAAGACCTCAAACTCACAGGTTCGACCTATATTCTTGGCCCAAATCTCCCCGAGTTGCGTTCCGAGACCCTCGCCACCCATCCAAGCCACATCACGTCACGAGGTTCTCGCCCTAGTTCGTCCGTGCCCTATTTTAGCCAATTCGCTCGTCACTTGCTGATTGATTATTTTCTGAGGCCGTATTTCCATTACTGAGTCGGTGTTCCATTCTGACTCATAACAGTTCTTGTCTGATTTGTTTACATGCAACTTCAGGTCTTGTTAAAGGTATGTGCCTACTTTTTGGGAGTCACGTAGGGAAGGCGCATTTCGAAGCTGAATCCGAACTCGATTCAGTATTTTTGCTTCTGGGTAAGGCGCAGTTCTGGGTGCAACATCGAGTTTCAATTTCCAGGGAGAGGACACGCCCCAAGCTCAGTGTTGCGGATTCGCAGATGGGTCGTTGATGATTGTCGCAATCGCTTTCACTCGCTTTTCATGCGCTGTCGGCCGTTTCACTCCGTCACGCTGCCCATAAATTGCACGCCCGCTGTATTTATGCGTTTCAAAAAATTACATGAGTGTCCAACTTCAAGGGGGGCTTTCTTGAATTCCCCCTTTGTAATTTTAGACTGGGGGCATAGTATACTATCACATATCAGAGTTCCAGCTGAGAAAAAGAATTTCATGGGGAATGAAAGAAAACGAATGCCTGAACATGTAGATTTATACATGGTGGAACAGAAGAAGGGCAACGAAGCATGAAAAGACGTCCCTGTACAACGCCACTGCATCTTCCAAATTGAGGCTTTCACATCACACCGACGATGTCATGTCACCACCATTAGCTATTCATCATTCAACGCACTATGCTGCTCTACCCCTACCATCATCATGTATGTTCATTGCAACCATCTCCTCCACTCTCGCCTTCGACCTCTCATTCTTCCATCACCAAAAAGGGTTTGTCCCAAAGGTGACCTGAAGGTCTAGGGGTTGGCAAGGATCCCAAAAGTGTAATTTTGGTCACAATCAGGTCACAATCAGGTCAAAGAATGCACATAAGTGGCCTTCATATGACCGAATTGTTACCAAAATGTCAACATATAGTTGTATATATTATAGGCTAGATAGGTGCATGCTCATAGAGGGTACATCACCATAGCAAGAAACTTCCCCGTATGGCACAATCTAGTTCATTGCGTTATTCTAATATGGTATCACGCTAGGTTAGGTTCCCCTCCCCGCCTACGCTATCGCCCCTAGCCTTAGCCCTAGCCTTAGACCGCGCCCTAGCCCGTGCCCCGTCACGCCGCGCTGGCTGACTCTGGTGGCCCCGCGACATCGTTCTCGCTGCCTGTCTCCGCCCCTATGTCTCCTCGTCCGCTGTCTCCACAGCAGCAGCCATCGCCGCCATCGCAGCCGCAGCAGCAGCCGCAATCGCCACCGCCGCAGTAGGAGCCGCCGCAGGGGTCCGCCAGCTCCGGGGGTGCGAGCGTTGAGCAGGGTGCTAGTCCTGGGGTTACTGTCAAGACTTGTCCCGGCGGTCCTGGGGGTGGCACCAGTGATGGGGAGGTTACTCGTTATGAGGGGGCTGGTTCTGGGGGTGCTAGTCCTGGGGTTACTGTCGTGGCTTGTGGTGGTCCTGGGGTTGGGGCCGGTGCTGGAGAGGGTTCTCGTTCTGGGGGTGTTGGCGTGGAGAGTCCTGGAGGCAGCCATTGGGCAGCTGGAGGTTTTGGTGTCGGCGAGGATCACCACCAGCAGCAACAGCAGCAGTCGCCGTCGGTGTCTGCCCTTCGCCTCCTTGGTCTTCCCTTCCCTGACCACCGACCTGCAACTCCCCCGCAGCCGCCTCCCTTGCCTGTCTACGGCCCTGTATTTCCGTTGCCGGACTCGTCTCTGGCTCGGTTCCCCCCTCGCTCTCCTCCTATTTCTCCTTCTGTGTCTCCTGACCCGACGCCTCCGTCCCACTTCTCGTCTCGCCGTCCCTCTCGTGCTCGTCCTGTCTCTCCTGTTCAGCGCTCTCACCCTATGTAACTCCGTTCCCAGGCGTCTCGTCCCCCCCTCCTCCTGTCGCCTCCTCCGTCGTCGCTAGTTGCCACTCCGCCTCCTCTGTCCGACTACCTTCGTGTCACTAGTCCTCTTCTTCCTCAGATCCTTGCCTCCCTCGTTACCGATCCGTCTGTTCATGTCTCTAATCTTGACGCTCTTGTCGCTGCCGTCCCTGACTTTGCCTTTACCCGCCGCCTTGACTACGCCACCACTCTGGTCTCTGACCCTGCCCGTCCTCCGTCCGTCGGGGGTGCTCCTGCCCTCAGTAGTGACGTCCTAGAGGACCAGCAGTACGAGCTTGCTTTCCTGTCCGAGGCCGCGCCTCATCTCTGCTCCAGGCTGCTAGTCCTTGAGGGTGACCCAGATGCCTTTGACATCCCGACCCCTCGCACTTACGCTGAGGCGACCTTGGGCCTCTTAATGGATAGCTGCCATGGACGCGGAGATGGCATCTTGGAGATCCATCGGCACCTACGTCAACGCAGTTCCCCCACCTGGGGTGAACGTAGTCGATGGCCGGTGGCTCTTCAAGGTGAAGCGCCCTCCTAGAGAGCCGCCGGTGTTCAAGGCGCACTACTTTGCTAGAGGCTTCAGTTAGCGCGAGGGTGTTGACTTCTTTCAGACCTTTGCCCCGACCCCGAAGATGACCACTCTTTGGGCGCTACTACACGTAGCAGCTCAGCGTGACTACGAGTTGCACTCTCTGGTCTTCTCCACAGCGTTTCTCCAGGGCAGTCTACACGAGCAGGTCTACCTGCGCATTCCGCCAGGGTTCCGCCGGGGGTCTACCGGCACCTTCGCCCCTGGGACCGAGTGGCTCCTCTGGCGCCCAGTTTACGGCGTGCGGCAAGTGCCCCGTGAGTGGCACGACATGCTGCGTGCTATGTTAGCTGACTTACTATTCTTCCCGTTGTCTGCAGACCCTTCACTCTTCGTCCGTTCAGGACAGAACCCGTTCTACATCCTTGTCTACATAGACGACCTGGTCTTTGCTACTTCAGATAGAGACGCTCTGGCCTCGGTGAAGGCTGAGCTGCTGAGGAGACACATCTGCACTGACCTAGGAGAGCTACACCACTACCTTGGGCTGCATATCTCCAGGGACAGAGCAGCGCGCACCATCACTCTCACACTGTCACAGTTGGTGCGCCAGGTCCTTCAGAGGTTCGGTCTTCAGTTCTCCTCCGCCCAGCCCACACCTCTGCTAGTAGATCACAGGCTCTCAGCTCCAGTCCCTGAGGAGTCAGTAGAGCCTAGTGGTCCGTACGCTGAGCTGGTGGGTTGCCTCATGTACCTGATGAATTGCACTCGTCCAGATCTCGCATACCCTCTCAGCATCTTGGCTCGCCTTGTGGCAACAGGCAGACACCGACCATAGCACTGGTCGGCAGCTAAGAGGGTTTTGCCTTATCTAGCAGGTACATCGGGCATGGGGCTAGTGCCAGGAGGACGCAGGCCAGTGGTCCTAACAGGGCACACAGACGCTTCGTGGGCCGACGACGCAGAGACGCCCAGGTCCTTTCAGGGCTACTGCTTTAGCCTTGGTGCAGGCACTGTCTCGTGGAGGTCCACCCGCTCGTCGTCTGTTGCACATTCTAGCTGCGAGGATGAGATCTACGCAGGTGCCATGGCAGCACAGGAGCTCCTCTGGCTGACGTTCCTGCTCACAAACTTAGGTGAGCGGCCTAGCTCTGCCCCGGTCGTGTACGCGGACAACAAGGCCATGATCCTCCTGTGTCAGGAGCCTCGAGTGGAGGGCAGAGCGAAGCACATCCAGCTGCAGTACTTCCTCCTGCGCGAGCTGCAGCAGCGACGCCAGGGTCGCGTAGTTCACTTGGCCTCCAGTGCCAACATAGCTGATATATTTACTAAGGCGCTTGCGCCTAAAGATCATCAGCGGCACTGTGTACAGCTTGGTCTAGTTCCAGTAGTTCCTCACTTGCTAGGACCTTGATTGTGTACTGCTCTTATTATATTTTCCGGACTGGCCTTGTGGCTTTTGCTCCAGTAGCCGGACTAGTAGTGCCGCCCTAGTTTGCTCTTGTCTTGTATGTACTCTTCTGACCGGTCTTAAGACCCTTGCCTCAGAGGTTGGACTAGTAGTGCCACCCAGAGCTACGTGTCTCTTGCCAGGCACCGCCCCTGGTCTAGCTTAGGGGGTGTGTCAGCATATAGTTGTATATGTTATAGGCTAGATAGGTGCATGCTCATAGAGGGTACAGCACCATAGCACAAAACCTCCCTACATGGCACAATCTAGTTCATTGCGTTATTCTAACACAAAATGCCACTTCTGGGATCCGAGCCAGCCCCTAGACCTTCAAGTCGACTTTGGGACATTTTTGGGCTAGATTTGGGTTATCACTTTTTGGGGATGTCACTTGCCATGCACCTATCCCTGTCCGCCACCCTCCCTGTCCGCCACCCACCCTCCCTGCCACCCTCCCTGTCAGCCACCATCTCTGCCACGCTCCCTGCCACTGTCTCTGTCACAGTCGCTGCCACCATCACTGAGATCGTCCCTGCCCCTGTCCCTGCCGCTGTCCCTAGCTGGTGTTGCTCCCCCCAACACGCCTGCTACGTACATCTTTCACATTTTCAGCAGCCATCTCCCTCATCCTCACCTTGAACCTCGCATTCTTCACTTGCCTTTTACCTATCTCTGTCCGCCACCCTCCCTGCCACTGTCCCTGCCACTGTCCCTATCACTGTCCCTGCCACTGTCTTTGCCACCATTCCTGCCACTGCCCTTGCCACCATCCCTGGCACCCTCCCTGACACTTTCTGTAGCTGTTGTTGCTCCTTCCTAGATGCCTGCTCCGCACATCCTTTACATTCACTGTAGCCCTCTCCTTCAACTTCGCCTTCGGTCTCTCATTCTTCGTTCGCCACAAACCTTCTGTTGCCAGCATCCCTCACACCATCCCTGCCACTGTCCATGCCACTGTCACCGCCACTGTCCCTGCCGCTGTCCCTAGCTGGTGTTGCTCCCCCCAACACGCCTGCTCCGCACATCCTTCACATTTTCTGCAACCCTCTCAGTCAGCTTCGCCTTTGGCCTCTCATTCTTCATCTGCCACGAACCTTTTGTCGCCAGTATCCCTCACACCATGCCTGCCACTGTCCCTAGTGCTGTCCATCAATCTCTCCGTGCTCCCCTGTATACGCCTGCTCCTCATCCTTCACATTCACTGCAGCCCTCTCCTTCAATCATGCCTTTTTCCTCTTCACTCTTCGCTTCCCAGAAACCTATCCCTGCCAGTATCCCTCACACCATCCTTGCCACTCTCTCCCGTACCATCCATGGCTCTGTGACTGCTCCCCTCCAGACCACTGGTCCCGCCACCATCTCCCCTCCCATCTTTCCCACTCTTTTTACCGGTCCTGCCTGGGCATGTGAGCTTGTGGGAGGGCCATTGCGCCTTTTGGCAGTCTCTGCTGCAATACGCCACCTTGCCACACCCAGCGCAGCTCTTCAGCTTCACACCGCCGCCCTCCGCCCCCCCACACCCCTCAGCACCGCACATACGCATTGTGCAAGGAGCCAGAACCACGCCCTTTGAGTTTGCAGCAGCTGCCGTATCCAAAGTGGCTGCACCAGCAGTGCTGAAAGGAACCCCAATTGACGGAGCAGCAGCGCTTGGTGCAGCACTAGCAGTTGCAGCAGCGCCAGCAGTGGCAGCAGCGCTAGCAGCAGCAGCAGCGCTAGCAGAGGCAGCAAAACCAGTGGTTGCAACAGTAGTGTTACCAGCAGCAGGGGTGGAGGAGGCAGCACGGGAGGGAGGGCGGTAGCAAGGCTGCCCCAGCAGCATCTCCCGCAGACATGCCACCAGATTGACTCCCCCCGGCCATGGCTTCAGATAAGCCGGCACCTCCTCCTTCTTGCTGCTGCCGCTGATGCCATCACTGCTGCTGCTGGCACTGCCGCTGCCACCATTGCTGTTGCTGGCACTGCTGCTGCCGCCATTGCTGCTGTTGGCACTGCCGCTGCAGGGAGCATAGTGGCTCTGCAGCTCCTCACAGAACCGTGGAACGGCAGCCTTCTCCAAGATCCAAGTAACATTTTTCGTAGTCCCCTGCTCCTCGTGGCCGCTGCACTTTTCAATCATCCCATCAGGTCGCAGGGCGGCCGGCCATGCGACCGATGCTCCAATGTACCACATCCGAACCTCCTCCCACACCTCCCCATCCTCCTCATCTTCATCCTGCCCGCTGTCCCAACCCTCTGGTCCCTTCCCCTTGCCACCCTTCCTCCCGGCCTCACCAGCACACTCTCCTCTTGCAGCTGCCTGCACTCCCTTCCCTTCAGCCTTGTTCGTCAGGAGTTCCGCTACAACCCCTAGAAGCTGCTTACCCCACCAGAGGGCCACGTTGATGAGGAAGAGAATGGGCATCTGCTTGGCTCGCTCCCGCATCACAGACACGCTCACAGGCCGTGGCACTTCCCGGGGGTTAAACATGCAGTCGATGAGCCGGTTGTACTCAGGAGAGTGAAGGGGGAAGTGAGAGACGAAGCGGTTGAAAAGGACGCTGACGGGGCGATAAGCATAGTTGGCGATGAGAGCAAGGAAGGGGATCTTGGTGGTGTACATGTTGAAACAGCTGAAGCACTTGGTGCATGCTGGCGGCTTCATGGAGCGACCAGCAAACCCCACCAGAAAGTCCACGTCTGCCTTGCAGCGGACGATGGGAAAGTCGCTCCTGGTGGGTGGGGATGGAATGAGAAGCGCTCTCCTACTCGTGTCACCCCTTGCATGGCCCCTATTCCTTCCACCTCCCCTCCCAACAGCCTTGCCAACCACCCCGGCATCTCGTCCTCCTCCAATCCCACGGCTTTCTCCTGCTTTTAATGCCTGCTCTGATGGCTTCTGCCCACCCTTCTCTGCTGCCCCACGCTCGTTCACAATCCCTAGTTCGAAACACCTCTCTCTAGGGTCGGTTGGAAACTTCACAGCAGTTTCATCACCCTCAGGCCACTCCTCCCACTCCAAAGAAAAGCTGCTTCCCTCCATGGGCTTGGGGATCGCACCGAACCTGACCAGCAGGTTCGGAAGGTCCCGGAGCGGGTGGCGCATAGGCAGGGCCTTCCCTGGTGGGCTGTTTTGGCAGCAGTGTTTTTCCAAGATGGAATCTGAGCCGTAGGTTCGAACCCACGTCAAGACGCAAGCTGCCCGATGCGTCAAAGCAGCAACCATGGAGTTTGAGTTGACGGGCACAAGTTCGGCGCTGAGGCAACCACTCGCACTGATGTCAGTAGAACCACTTGCACCAGCGCTGGTAGCTGCAGAGGCCAAAGATTCTGTCGCTGTTGGTGATGCTGCTGCTGCTGCTGCCGCAGATCTTCCATCACCTACTCCTCCTCCATGCATCTCCCTTGTCAGCCTCGTGCTTCTCAGCCTCTCCCTTGCCTCCGCAATGGCTGCATCCTTGCCTCCACCTCGGCTGCCTCCCTCGCGCCTCACTCCTGCCAGCCTCCTCCTCGCCTCCTCAATGGCAGCATCGTCCACCCGTGTTTTGTTAAAGTTGTTTGCATCAAGGAGAAGCACCTGAGCGCCCGTCCAGTACTGTGGACTAGAGTACACTGTCGCAGCAGCAAGGGCGAACTCTGTTGCATCCACTCCGCTCACACACATACCCTTGGGAGCATCCTCTCCTACTGCCCCATTGCCACTAGCATAACTGTTGCCATGGCTGTTGCTGCCGCGGCCTCCTCCGCTCCTGCTGCTCTTCCTGCCGCTGCTGCTGCTGCCGCCGCCGCTGCTGCTACCCTCACTACCGTGGCTGCACCTGACACCCGCCCCTTCCGCCCCTCTATTCTTCAGAATCCAAGCCATGCCATCCACATATCTCTCCCACACAGGCCCCTTCAGGTTCTCCCTCCACTTTCCAACCTTTCCAATCCTTCGGCTGTTGTTAGCAAACCCATTGGCCCACTCACTCCCCACGAGGTCTGTATCCCCTCCTCCCACACCCTCCAATCCTCCAATCCTCTCCGCATGGGCCTTCTCAAGGCCGCCTGACAGCAGATTCTGGGCATAAAACCCAAAACTTTCCGTAAGTTCGGCAGTTCCCTTCACTCCAAGAATCTGCACCAGCAAGGAAGCAAAGCAGTCCTTCTCCACCTGCCTGCCCGCCCCCAGCTCAGCCACAAGCGCGGGGTAGGCCGGAAAATGTGAGTCCAAGTGTGCTTTCCATAAGGTCACGATGCGGGGTGACGATGCAACAAGCACGAGAACAGTTGCCACACTGACAGCACGGCGGTAGGCAGCCCAGCAGCTGCTGCAGCGCCAGCAGCAGGACCACATTGCATCAGAAGCATCTTGAGCAGCATCTGTTGCAGCATCTGCCGCCGCACCAAGAATGGCTGGCAGGCGAGATCGGATTCGCACCAAGTCCATGAGCACGCCCACACGAGGCTCAGCCATCCACTCGACAAGCATGGCTTCCGCACACCACATGGGAGCCGTCTCCCACATGTGTTCAAGCTGCATGCGAGGTGGCATGTCCACACTCCGCCCGTCCACCAGCAACTGCGCATTTGTAGAAACCTCGAACTTGACCCAGCGCTGCTGCTTCAGTGGCGCAGGGCGGATGGAGCAAGGCAGCTTCTTGCGCACGTGGTGACGGAAATTACCCAGATTCAACATGCCGAGTACACGCTGCGCACGGTAGCCCACGGCACGGTTGAAGCAGCATTCGCCCTCGGCCAGATTCCACCCATCCCTGTCGTCCAAATACCGAACCATGTCCACCCGAGACAGCAACCGAACATCCTCCGAACTTCCCTGAACTCCCGCGCTCACGTTTCGCCTTGCTTCCCGCGCTCTCGCCCTTCTTGATCCACCCCGTTCTTGGATCTCCCACTTCTTCATCATCTCCTGAGCATCCTTCGCCTTGGTTTGATACCAGCGTGTTGCCTCCACAAGTACTTCCTCTGCCTCGCTTTTCCGTCTATCTGGCGCGTGCTCCTCCTCTTCCTTGCTGGTGGGATCAGCGTCGATCCATATCTTGTAGTCCATGGAGCCAGAGGCAGACGCAGCAGATGCAGCAACGGGACTAGGCGGAGGAGGAAGAGCTGCAGGAAAAAGAGGCTAGGCCGTAGCAGATGGAGCAGCGAGACCAGGCCGAGGAGGAAGAAAAGGAGCGGAAAGAGGCTCAGTGGTAGAAGATGCAGCAGTAGGATGACCCAAAATACCGTCCAAAAGCTCTGATCTAGCGTCCATTTTTCGACGGCAGCAGAACTGTAAAAGGATGTTCCAGACTTCAAGAACCTGTCGGTGGTAGGAACTCAGATCTGCTGTTTTGCCCTAAGGTCGGAATTCTAGATCCGTGGCTTGTTGCCTTGCGGTTAAAATCTCTGTTGACAACTGAAATCTTTGATTTTGCAGGGTGTTTTTGAGAATTCTCAAAAACTCTCTGTTGACAACTGAAATCTAACGAGCCTCCCTCATCACGCGAGCCGTTGGTATGAGAGACCCCCTGAATGGTGTGGGACACGTCACGAATCAACGAGCCTCGTTGGGTGGAAATTGCTCGACGACTGAAAAAATACTGTAAGCCACTATCATCCGACGACCCTGATTCTTGCTTTGGGACCACATCAACGTCAGCGTACGGGAGTTTGTCAGAGTCAGTAACGAGTCTAAAGGGGTAGTCGTCTTCCGAAGGCATCGGGCCGTTTATTCCTACGCAAGTCTAATCGGGTGGAAGATAAGCTCTAATATCCGTTTGCTGATGTAAGCTGCTGTCACGAGACAACCTGTAATGCTGTCGCAGGACCACCTTGGATGCCATGCAGTCATGGAACGACCTCAATGCTGCCGCCATTGGTGAAATGCTGAGGCCCAATTCAGATAGTGTACAGCCCCCCCTCGGGAATGTCAGATTTGAGCTCTGATCGAGAAAAGTTCGAAATTCCTCGATTGACATTCAGAAAGCTGCTGTTGACAAAACCCAACCAGCAAATCCTTTCTCACTGTTTAGCGAGCAACGTTCACATGCGCGGCAATTTGTGATCACATCGAAGGGTGTGTTAGGGCAGGGTTCTTGTAGTTCAGTTGGCAATGTTCAGGTCATTTACGTTAGGCAGCCTCGGATGTCAGGTTGACTACGATTCGCAGATATTTGTTTCGAGGTTTGCAGAAAAACCCATATTATAACAACACAGGGAAGCACAGGTGCGCGCGTCGCCATATCGATTCGCGCTGACAAAACCGAACCACCAGCGATGTTATAATGTTTTGGCGCGCGAACGAGAAATTCATTTGACGAAAATGGGTTGGGGAATCGAGCCACACGCAAATTCGCTAACCATTTTCGCAAATTTCGGGCATCAATCTCCAACTCCTGACTAGTACATGGCTTCTCGCATTCGATCATGGGTTGTCGATCACAAGTGTTACGCTGGTCAACTTCCATGGTCGAAACTTGTTACATGTTAATTACCGGGTAACAATACTCTTAGACCGCCAAACGGGCGCCAAGTGATCTACGTGCACCACGCCCTTACAAAACATCGGACGGTTTCAAAACTAATTTGGGAGGCATCAGTTAGCCTCCGATTTCTGACGACTGCTCCAACAGATGTGGTAACGTGCAATCATCTTGAATCCGGCGATTTTGAACACGGCCTCAAAAATGGAACTGCCTTCCCTGCCTATTCCCCTTCGCAACAGCGCAGCGTGATTACAAGCAAGCCAGGCGTTTTTAGGGTTTCGGAAAACCTATTTTCTACGGACTGTGTAAAACACTTGTTTGGGCCTCGCCGGCGATTTTTTCACTGTCGATTACAAATTTCTGCCTCTGCTTCGATTAGTAGCGCCCGTTTAACACCTCTCTTACAGTAACAAGCCCGTTCTACTACTGCTGTTGTGCTTGTAGCCATGCCTGCTGGTGCTGGTGCCAGTACGCCATGGATTGATGCTGCAAGTCACCCGATTGACTGCTACAAGTGGGACAGTGTGGCTTTGGCAGCGATGAGGAGGAGGGAGAGGGAGGAGGGAGAAAGAGGGCAGAAGGATTCTCAGACTGCAGTTAGAGCAGCAGGATCAGCAGACGCAGCAGCATGAAAAAGAGGCAGCCAGAACAGAAACTGAAACAGAAGGGGGATCAGGAAGGCAGATTTTTGCGTAACAACAGGGTGGTTCGAACAATGGCCTTAAGCTGATCTGTAGATGCAAAATTATTATTTTTGTCGACTCATCCGCTTCTGACTGGTCCGCCCGCGTGTGAGTCTCTCTGCCCGTGCTGGTTCCACCATTTTCTTAGTACCCAGGGGAAAGCGGCTCTCGGAATCCCGAACCTAATTCCACTGACACTTACTTAAGCAACTGCCAAAGTCCCTTCCCCCTGGAAGCATCAGACCGGCAGTGGGTAGATAGATTCCTGGAAGGGGAAGAGGGCAGTAGAGGGGCAGCAGAGGGGCCAGCAGAGGGGCCAGCAGAGGGGAGAGCAGAGGGAGCAGAGGGGCCAGCAGAGCAGAGGAGCCAGGAGAGGGGAGATCGGAGGCAGCAGAGAAGCAGGGGAAGATTTGGGGGGAGAGGGAGCGCCCTCTCCCTTTTGATGCTCACCATCCACCCTGTCGCCATCACTCCCCTCTTCAACACGTTCACGCCGGTAAGTGTGTGTCGTTAACCTTCGTGCTCACCATTTACCCCGTCGGCATTGCTCCTCTCTTTATGCCATTGAGCTGTGCTTGAGATGAGGGTTCGCGGGACGCAGGACGGGGAAGCTGGAAGAATGGAAGCGCTCCGCCTCACGGAATGTGATTCTACAAGAGTGTTTGTTACTAGCCGAACTAGCGAGACAAAAAAATGCTGAAATAAAATGTGCTGCTGGCGTGTATGCGGAGAGACGCCATCTATAATTGCCTGGCGACATCCGAGCACGCAGGAACTACCAAGGCTCAATACTACTGTTCCTTGTCGTTGGGTTGATCCAGCCAATTAGCATCAAGGTTGAAAATAAGGAGCGATCCGAATTTAGGTTGAAGCTGGTGCCATGTCCTCCGATGCTCCATAGTCTCCTAAAACCAAACTACACTGAGGGTGTGGAACCTTGAGTTTCCGCCCTGGCCAAGCTCTGGTTTTAGGTCTGGTGGTAACACCTCGCAAATGCTTATCTCATAATGCTCTTCACATATTTCTTATAATTCTGGGTTCACGGTAATTCTCTCCTCTCCAATGCTTGAAAGGAACCAATACTCATGCGTTGATCTCTCAATGCTGATAAAGCTTAGCCAATCTTAGCAAGCCTATTTTGCCCTTCATCATCAGCTTATGTACAAAGAGAAGTTCAACAGTATTGTGCTGGCTGGTGGTGGCTAGCTCCGAACTTTATCAAGGGTAAATGAATCCACGAGGTCTTGCACAGCAAGTATGGCCTTCCGCTGATCTTCTCCAGACAGTTGATGGATTTTGAATAATTTCTCAGCATCGGGAACATCTTGAGGTTGTTGCAATCCACAAGAGGTAAGCAGAGAAAACTCCTTGCATTCCTGGGAAAAAAAGCACGACATTAGTTGTTCCGTACTAGTGAGTTGTGTTACAGAGTCCAGCCTAAAAAAAATCCTTATCTTACCGCAGCGATGTCTTTTGCGAAGTCTTGTTGGCGTTGTCGGTTGTCCAGATGTGACAAGGACAAAGTATTCTCGACTCTGACGGCAACTAACTCCTCAACCTGCAAGACGATGTCATTTGAAGACGATTAGGATGAAGATAAGAGATTCGCAGCTACAAGAAAAGGGATCGACGGCTTTTTACACCGTACCTCGTCGAGCTCAGAAAGAAGGTCCAGCGGTGCAAGTCGACGAGCACATCTCAGCCTACTCTCCTTAACGGCGTCCTGGTTCAGAGATGAGCCAACAGGAGAGGGTTCAACGTGAAGAACCGTTGCGGGGGAAGTGCAGGGTAGTTCGTGAAAAGGAGAGCTCTCGACAGCATTCTGTGTATCATTATGAGAACTTGAACAGCCACTGCGAAATCTCGGTGAATAGCAGCCAGACTCTCTGTCGACATAAACGGAAGCGCTTCTACGCTGGCGAAGACCAGACGATTGAGTCTGGGAGCAGCCAGACTCTCTGTCGACATAGATGGCAGCACTTCTACGCTGGCGAAGACCAGGAGGAGTCTGGAGGAATTCCATGTTAGCGCAAGGAATTGCCCGATAAACTTGCGAGCAGGTGAACTGGAGATAGCTTGCAAGGCAGATCGAACTGATTGAATGATCAGGGCTGCCACTGGGCTTTTATACTGATCAGGCCGAAAGCATTCTGAGCCGGAAAGGGGCAGGTCGAAAACATCGGACCCCCAGGCGCAGTTTGGAATTCCCTCACCAAACTGCCGAAATTTGCGCGAAACAAAAGTGGAATCGCCCAAACCCCTATGTGTGGGGCCCAAACCCGACTCTGACCAGCCATCACTGTCGAAAAGTTCGGAGCCAGCCCCCATACTCGCTTGCTGTGTGTCCTGGCCAGCCCCACCCAGATTCATTCTTGCAGATAGTGTACTTCATTTGCTCTACACTACATATACGAGTTCTATGCAACAAGGTATCATGTCTCTTTTTTCACCTTTCCGCACCCTCAATATTCTAAAGTGCAGTAAATAAAGTTAAAAATACTGTTTTTCCTGAAATCATTCATTTCATCCGTCAAATGTGGCTAATGTGTGGCCTTCACCCATGCTAAAGTCGAATTAAATAAAGCACGAATGTTAATATTGAATAGAGAATCTGGTAGCAGGAACATTTCTTTATCGAGGATGAGTTCCGCCATACTGCTGGATGAAGATTCCTAAAACAGTCGCCGCCGTCTTTTGGACCGAGGAGTTTAGACCATCATCTCCATCTCCCCGACATCCATAGACTAGGTCATCCTTCTTCCATCCGTCCATCCCTTCATCCGTCAGACGTCACGCCATTCCCTCATCCCAGCACGCTCCACTCCTCCTTTTCTCGTCACTACGCCTGTTCTTCATCCCACCCGACCCCTCCCTCCACGACCTTTCCAACTTCTCCACTTCTACTCGCCGTTTTCCGTTCCTTTCTCCGCGATTGACAGAAAGCGTCGATCACTCTTCAGTACACGCGCAGTCGCGGCCGATCGGTACGACACGTGCCGCAACGTGACTGGGTGTCGCCATATCCGCCGATAAAATGGCGGCGTCCTCGTCTCTGCTGCAAGCGGGCTTCAGATCCGCGCGAGACGCGCTGACTCGCGGCAATCAATGCAGCGTAAGACACAGCAACAGCCTAACCAAGAGCTGCATCGCAACAGTAGCCAATAGGATACAGAGTAAGGCAACAGGTACGCGGGCTTCAGATCTAATATGCGCGAGGCGCGCTGAGTCGCGGCAACAGAGGCAATGTAGGACACACGATTTAGGGTCCTCCTGTTGCCCTCGTCTTCGTCTTTCTAAACTGTCGTGTCTTCTAACATGATTATCCTGTCGACCCCCCTCCGCTTCTCAGACTCTTCAGAAGGAGCCTTTTCCGTCTGGCCTCCTCTTTCAGAATCCATTTCTCCCATATCAGAATCATGTAGTACAACGTGCGCTCCTATTTTTGACCTGGTCCTTTCGTCCTCTCCCCTCCGTCCGTGACCGTCGCCTTTGGCCTTGTGGGGCCTTCCAACAGGCCTGTCCCGTTAGCCCCTTTGACAGCATCCCTCAGACCTAGCTTCACACCTTGAGAGCTCGAGGTGACTTTCGAGTCGCCTCAAAAGTTCCCTTCTGGAGTCGACTCTATAGTCAGTGGGTGGGGGCCTTCCCAACAGGCCTCCCTCGTTAACCCCTTTGACAGCATCCCTTAGACCTAGCTGCACACCTTGTGCTCGCGTGAAATTGTATCCTTTCCACTTCGCAATCGTCCTTTCATTCTGCCTTTGAGTCGACTCAAGACTCAGACGCAACATCCCTCTGACCTAGCTGCACACCTTGTGCTTCTGTGCACAAGGTGTGCAGCTATCCTTCCCACCTCGCAATCATCCTATCAATCTGCTTTTTCTTAGTCGACTCAAGACTCGGAAGCAGCATCCCTCGAACCTAGCCCCAACTTCGCACACAAGTGTATCCTTACCACTTCTCAGCCATCCAAGTGGCTTCCACACATATCTATCAACCATGCACCCTGCCCCCCTCCTCCCCCCCCCCCCCCCCTTCCCCCCCCCCCCGGTCCTCCCCAGCTCCTTGCTGCCAGAAATCTCCTCCCGCGATCGCTCCAACATCAGGAGCGCGCTGATTTCAGCACGGAAAGTGCCGCTGGGCAAGAGACATCCCCTGAGCACCCTGCTGTCATCGCCCCATCGCTTGCTGCTAACGCTGCTGGTACTGCTGACGCTGCTGCCGCTGCAGACGCCGCAGACGCTGGTGTCGCTGGTGGTGCAGAGAAAGGGTTCGATGCTCGGCCTCGCCCTTTGCTGGTGAAGCTGCTGAATGCGCCCCGCCACGCGCTCAAGGAGGAGGTTCTGCGAAAGTTCCATGGCTGTGGGCTGACGTCAGCGGATGTGTTCACTGTGCTGGATGACAGACTGCGCACGCTGCACTGGTGAGTGCATGGGTGGTTGCATGATGTGGTGTGGTACAGTACAATGCGGTACGGTGATGTGGTGTTAAGTGGTATGGTAGTGTGGTGGTATGGTGATATGTCACTGTTCGGTTCACAGTGTTTCACTGTGCTGGATGACAGACTGCGCACGCTGCACTGGTGGGTGCATGGGTGGTTGCATCTGTGGGTGGGCGCATGGGTGTATGGGTGCATGGGTGGTTGCATGGGTGGGTGCATCGGTGGGTGGGTGCATGGGTGGGTGATGATGTGGTGTGGTGTGGTACTGTACAATGCAGTACAGTAATGTGGAGTGGTATGTCATGATACGGTATGGTGGTATGGTGATGTACGTCATTGTCCTGTTTGATGTGTGTTCTCTGTGCTGGATGACAGCCTCTGCAGTGCATACTGCACTGGTGGGTGCATGGTGTGGTATGGTATGGTATGATATGGTATGGTACAGTGCGGTATGGTGACGTGATGTAGTGTGGCATCATGGTATGGTGGTGTCATGTGGAGTGTTATGGTGATGTGATGTGGTGTGATTTGGTGATGTGTCATTGTTCGGTTCACTGGGCTGGATGACAGACAGCGCACACTGCAGCACTGGTGCGAAGCCTGGTCTGGTATGGCATAGTATGATACGGTGTGGTGGTATGATGGTATGATGGTATGATGGTATGATGGTATGATGGTATGATGGTACGGTGATGGTACCATTCCTTTCTGGTATGGTGATGGTATGGTGTGGTGGTGTGGTGGTATGATGGTATGTTGGTATGATGGTATGATGGTATGATGGTATGAAGGTTCAAAAATACGGTTTTCGAAAAATACGGTCCGTATTATTCGGCCGTTTTTTTCGGGGATTTTTGGAAAAAAAAACGCCGTTTTTTAAATAGAGCATCTTTTTTTTTTTTTTTTTTTTTTGCTAGACAGCCTAATCGTCTGCCAGATCCGCGCCATTCGTCCGCCCAAATGCGAGATCCGCGCATTTCGACGGGCGAAATGTCAGATCTGCGTATTTCGGCTGACAAAACGTCAGATCCATACATTTCGTCCACAAAAAACGCAAGATCTGGCACATTTTGGTGGGAAAAATGCCAGATCCGTGCATTTGGGCGGGCGAAATGCCAGATCCGCGCATTTCGTCGGATTGTTTTGCACTTTTTTTAATATTTCGGCCGTTTTTTTTAACCAACCTATTTTTGCACAATTTTCACCGTTTTTTTCGTATTTAACGGCCGTTTAATTCGATACCGTTTAATACGGTATTTAAAAAAAAAAAAAAAAAAAAAAACGGCGTTTTTTTTAACCCTGGTGTGGTATGGCATAGTAGGATGTGGTGTGGTGGTATGGCGATGCTTTTACCGTGCTGGATGGCAAACTGTGCACCCTACACTGGCGGGTGAATGGCATGTGCGGTCGGTAGCTATGCACGGTGGCATGTGCGCCGCGGTACGCCCCAGTGCGGTGGGAAAAATATACTGGGCATCTCATGCATGCACTCCTTGCATTGCATGATGTGCTGCCATGCAGCAGCAGCTACATGCAAAGTTACAAGTGATGTTATATTATATCTGTCCGTTTTGGAGTGTGCTCTTTCTGTGTTCTCATCCCCTTGGCTCTTGCTGCGTTCTCATCCCCCATGCAGGCATCTTGAATTCAAGTCAACAGATGCATTCAAAAAGGCACAAGCTATACTGGGTGCTCAAAACAGGCTGGGCTCGCGAATCCTGCGCCTAGAAGAGGTGCGTTCTGGGGGGGGGAATAGCTGCGTGTACAGGAAAAAGGTGAGGGAGGTAGGGGTGTTGGAGCTTGGGACTTGGAGCCAAGCACAATGGCTGGAGGGTGTAGGTGGCTCAGGCTGTCCTTGGTGCTCAAAACAGGCTGGGCTCATGAATCCTGCGGGTTAAAGAGGTACGTTTTGAGGTGGGAATAGCTGCGGGTGCAAGGAAAGGTCGAGGGATTGTGTTGGGTGGGATTGCACTGGTGATTTCTGAGTCGACTCAAAAATCACCTACAGATGTTGGGATCGCACTAGATCCATCACAACCCCGACCTTTGCCTCAGCCTCTCTTATGAGTCGACTCAAAAGGAAAGGTCGAAAGGTCGATGGAGGATGTTGGGGTTGAATCAAGTGGCATTGCACTAGAGTCTAGAGTCAGCACGGTCCAAGAGGCAGCAAGAATCCTGCCCCCAGAAGAGGTGTGTTCTGGGGGCGGGAATAGCTGCGGGTGCAAGGAAGGTCGAGGCAGGGTGTTGGGATCGAATCAAGTGGCATTTCACAAGAGGCATCCCAAACCAGGCCGTTGCCTCAGCCTCTCGTTGTATCTGCCTCTGTCTTGTTGCCCATGTGCCTTTCCGATTCTCCTTGTCCCTACCTCGTTGCCTCCCAGTATTCCTCCAGGGACCATCAAGTGGCATTTCACAACAAGCATCACAACCCAGACCTATGGGGGTGGAGGGATGTGTCGGTGAGTCTGCTGCTGATCGTGTGGAGCTGTCCTTCCAACTTTGTGCTGCCGTTGGTATTCTTCTCGATTCGCATTCATGCCATGCCATGCCATGCCATGCCATGCCATACACTATATCGGCCATTTTTTTTGTCTGTGAGTTTTGTATGTCTTCCACAGTTTGGCTCAAACTGTTCAACTCCTTGGTTGTCTTACCCAAAGGTAGCCAACCTTTGAGTCGACTCAAAAGTGTTTGTCTTGACCAAGGGTAGCCAGCCGCACAGCGTGATTCAAGACCCTCTTCTAGCCGCAAGATCGCGAGCCCAGCCTGTTTTGAGCACCCAGGATAGCCTGAGCCCAGCTTGGTTGTCTTGACCAAAGGTAGCCAGCCACAAAGCGTTGGTTGTCTTGACCAAGGGTAGCCAGCCACACAGCCTGGCTTGCTCAAGAAGCCAAGATTTGGATCTCCATGGGGCTGCCTGACGAGTTTTGAGGCGCCTCAAAACTGGATCTCCATGGGGCTGCCTGACGATGTGAAGACTCAGCGGAGATCCAGCAGTTCTTTGAGGACTGCCCCTTTGGTGCGCCTCTGACACACACCCTTCTTTCCCTAACCCCTCTCTCCCGCTCTCTCTCTGTCCTCCCTGCCAGCTCATCATGATGGGGCTGCCTGCCTGACGATGTCAAGACGGAGGAAATACAGCGGCTCTTTGAGGACTGCTCCTCACCCCTCTTGTCTGTCTGCCAGTTCCCCAACCTCTCTCTCTGTCCTCCCTGCCAGCTCATAATGCAGGGGATGCCTGACGACGTCAAGACGAAGGAGATCAAGCAGTTCTTTGTGGATTGCCCCTCTTCCCTCTCCCCTCTTGTCTGTCTGTCTGTCTGTCTGTCTGTCTGTTCCTTAGGGCGTGGTACATACAGTTCCAACTTTCCAATCACGGAACTGAGTTCCGAAAACGGTGGCGGGACTACTCGGACGAACATGGTACATCCAGTTCCGAAACTGGATGCTGTCCGAAAATCCCACTTGGTACCTATGTCCGGACGGTGGGGGTGGTGTTTGAAATTTCAAAGCCACGCGAAATGACGAACAAGACGAACCTTGCGGAAACTTCCGCGACCAAAGTTACGCGAAACACATGTCGCCCCACATCGCAACTTCCGTTCCCAACAGCAAACTTCTTTGAATGCAGAAATTTGCCAGACTGGTTTTGATTGGCCAATGGCCAACTTCTTTCGCGCCCCAATTTTCGCGCACCAGGTGACAACGTCTACTTTTCACCATTTTCGCCAGGGGGGATTGGCCAGGCTGTTCGGAAGTGGCGGGCTGGACGTTGACGACTGTCCGGACACCCCTGTCCGGACGCTGTTGGTAACCTGTTTTACCCATCTTGAACGCCGTTGCGAATCGATTCGCGAGGCTCTTCGCGAACAAAGACGAAAACAGTAACCACCCTTTTGTCCGGACAGCTGCCAGTTCCGGAACTGTATGTACCACACCCTTAACCTCTCTGTCTGTGTCTCCCCCTGCCAGCTCATCATGATGGGGCTGCCTGACGATGTCAAGACGGAGGAGATCGAGCAGTTCTTTGAGGACTACATGCTCCAGCCGCCGTCCGTGTACCACGTCAGACTGTAAGTTAGCCACGTCAGACTGTAAGTTATCCACGTCAGAATGCAATTTTGACACGTCAGACTGTAAGTCAGCCACGTCAGACTGTAAGGGCGTGGTGCTTTGAGTTTGGTTGTTTGGCAAGTTTCGAACTACGAAGTGGTTACATTAGTCGTGAAGGGTAATCGCCAGTTTCGCGAGGGTGTCAGAGCACCACCCTGAAATTCGAAACAAAATTGGCGTGAAGGAGGTTCGAACGCGCCCATTCGGACAGCACATTCCACGCCATTCGAAACATCCCGCCAAACCTCCAAAAGTCCGATTCGCGAAATTCGCGAGACTGAAAGAAAGTGTACGTCGTTACCACTGCCACCAAGAACCCCACTCCCCCTTGACTTGACAGGTCAAGCAGCAATCAACGCGTGCCCCCCTTGTATTTCGAGCACCCTGTCTCACAATTGGGACGACTTGAATTTTGCAAAATTCGCGAAGCCTCGGATTTGCGATGCTGACGTACTCCGTTCCTGTCACCCTCCTTGTAGTTCGAATGTCTTGGTTCGATATTACGCCACTTCCAGAAATTCACGAAATTCGAACTAAAAATGCGAGAAAATGCCAAACAAACTCAAAGCACCACGCCCTAAGTTAGCCACGTCGGACTGTAAGTTCGCCATGTCAACTGTAAGTTAGCCATGTCAGAGAGTAAGGTAGCCACGTCAGACTGTAAGTTAGCCACGTCACACTGTAAATTTGCCATGTCAAGTTGTAAAGTAGCTCTGTCAGACTGTAAGTTAGCCGCACCAGCCTGCAAGTTAGCCATGTCAGACTGTAAACGTGTCGCGCGGGAATGTGCCCGATCGTCGACCTGGTGAAGTGGCACGTGGTGGTGTGATGCGCTCTCTGGTTGATACCTTCTGGTCCCGCTTCTACCCCTTTCCCATCTCCCCTCCCCCTTCTCCGCCTGCCGCAGTCAGCACATGGGCGTCAAGACCTCGGTGCAGCTGCGCATGAAGGGCGAGATGAGGCCGATCATCGATCTGGTGGAGCGGCGAGCAGTGGTGCGATCTGCTCTCTGGCTAATAATTTCCATCTCCCTTCTCCTCCTCCCCGGTCCCCCTCCCCTCTTCCCCCGTACTACAGTCAGCACATGGGCGTCAAGACGCCAGTGCGGCTGCGCATGAAGGGTGAGATGCGGCCGATCATAGACCTGGTGGAACGGCGGGCGGTGGTGCGGTTCGCGGACCAGAGGGAGGCGCTGAGGGCGCTGAGGGAGAAGCACCGGGAATTCCTGGGAGATAGGATGGTTGAGCTCAGGCTTCTACAATGAACGCGTAACACTGTAGCTGTGATGGAGCGGCGGCGGTGGGCGGTGGTGAGATACGTGGACCAGAGAGAGGCGCTGAGAGCACTGAGGGAGAAGCACAGGGAATTCCTGGGAGATAGGATGGTTGAGCTCAGGCTTCTACAGTAGTTGTGTAACTAAGATACACATTCTGTAGTGAAAACATGATTGAAGATGACCTCGAAGAATGAGCGACAGATGGAGCGGTCTACATGGCATTGTTGTTAACGTGAATGAATGATAAACACATGTGGAACAAGGGAGATATATGTGTTCTGGTTGTATCCTCTAACAACATACAACTATCTATCCTAAAACTTCTACATAGCAAAATATGTATAAGTTGACACACCCCCTAGGCTAGGTAAGGGGTAGTGCAGAGCAAGTAACACACAGCTCAGGGTGGTACTACTAGTCCAACCTCTGAGGCAGGGGTCCAAAGACCAATTAGCAAGAGTACAAACAAGACAAGAGCAACCTAGGGTGGCACTACTAGTCCGACCACTGGAAGAGTAGCCACAAGACCAGTCTGGAAGGCAAAAATATTGAGTACACAATCAAGGTCCTTGCAAGTGAGAGTCTACAGGAACTAGACATAGCTGCAAGCAGTGCCGCTTATGATCTTTAGGCGCAAGCGCCTTAGTAAAGATATCAGCTGTGTTGGCACCGGAGGCCAAGTGTACTACGCGGGCATAGCGACGTTGCTGTAGCTCGCGCACGAGGAAGTACTGCAGTTGGATGTGCTTCGCTATGCCCTCAAGTCGAGGCTCTTAACATAGGAGGATCATAGCCCTGTTGTCGGCGTACAGGACCGGGGCAGAGCTAGGCCGCTCACGTAAGTCGGCGAGCAAGAAGGTCAACCAGCGCAGCTCCTGTGCCGCCATGGCACCAACGTAGATCTCAGCCTCACAGCTAGACTGGGCAACAGACGAGGAGCGAGTGGACCTCCACGAGATGGCACCCGAACCAAGGCAAAAGCAGTAGCCCTAAGAGGACCTGAGGGCCTCAGCGTCGTCTGCCCAAGAAGCGTCTGTGTGCCCTGAAAGGACCACTGGCCTACGTCCTCCCAGCACTAGCCCCATGCCCGATGTACTCGCAAGATAACGCAAAAACCTCTAAGCGGCCGACCAGTGCTGTGGTCGGTGTCGGCCTGTGGCCACAAAGCGAGCCAGGATGCTAAGAGGGTATGCGAGATCTAGACAAGTGCAAGTCATCAGGTGAATGAGGCAACCCACCAGCTCTGCGTAAGGACCACTAGGCTCTGCTGACTCCTCGGGAATTGGAGCTGAGAGCCTTTGGTCTGCTGGCAGAGGTGTGGGCTGTGCGGAGGAGAACTGAAGACCGAACCTCTGAAGGACCTCGCGCACCAAGTGTGACTGTGTGAGAGTGATGGTGCGCGCTGCTCTGTCCTTGGAGATCTGTAGGCCAAGGTAGCGACGCAAATCTCTTAGGTCAGTGCAGGTGTGTCTCCTCAGCAGCTCAGCCTTCACGGAGGCCAGTGCGTCTCTGTCTGCAATAGCGAAGACCAGGTCGTCTACGTAGACAAGAATGTAGAAGGGAGTCTGGCCAGCACGAACGAAGAGCGAAGGGTGTGCAAAGGACGGGAAGAATTGCAGGTCAGCTAGCGTAGCATGCAGCGTGTCGTCCCACTCACAAGGCGCTTGAGGATATATTGGGTCCCAGGAGGGAAGGTACCGGTGAAGCCCTGTGGTCGGCGCAGGTAGACCTGCTCGTATAGGCTGCCCTTAAGAAAAGCAGTGGAGAAGTCGAGGGAGTGGAGCTCGTAGTCACACTGAGCTGCTACGTGTAGCAGCACCCGAAGAATAGTCATCTTCGGGGTCGGGGCAAAGCTCTGAAAGAAGTCCACCCCCTCTCGGTGACTGAAGCCTCTAGCCACGTAGCGCGCCTTGAACACAGGCGGCTCTCTAGGGGGACGCTTCATCTTGAAGAGCCACTGGCCATCGACTACGTTCACCCCAGGTGGGGGAACAACGTCGACGTAGGTGCCGGTGGATCTCCAAGATGCCATCTCCTGCTCCATGGCAGCTATCCACTGAGAGGCCGAGGGTCCCGAGGTGGCCTCAGGGTAGGTGCGAGGGGTCGGGATGTCAAAGGCGTCTGGGTCACCCTCAGGGATTAGCAGCATGGAACAGAGATGGGGAGTAGCCTCCGACAAGAAAGCAAGCTCGTACTGCCCGTCCTCTAGAACATCACTTCCAAGGGCAGGAGCACCCCCGACAGACGGAGGATTGGCAGGGTCAGAGACCAAAGCGGTGGCGTAGTCAAGGCGGCGGGTAGAGGCGAAGTCAGCGATAGCAACGACGAGAGCATCACGACTGAAAGAGGAATAGACGGGTGGGTAACGAGGGAGGCAAGGACCCGAGGAACAAGAGGATGAGTAGCACGAAGGTATTCAGACAGAGGGGGAGGCGCGACAGCGAGTGACGATGGATGAGGCGAAGGTAGGAGGGGAGGACGAGATGCGTGGGAACGAAGCAACATGGGGTGCGAATGCTGAGCAAGAGAGACAGGACGAGCACGAGAGGGACGACGGGACCAGACGTGAGACGGAGGCGTCCAGTCAGGAGACAGAGGAGGAGAAACAAGAGGGGACCGAGGTGGGAAACGGGCCGGAGACGAGTCCGGCGGAGGAAACACAGGACCGTGGACTGGAAGGGGAGGCGGGGGCGAGCACTCGGGGGAGGGAAGGCCGAGCAGGCGAAGGGCGGACACCGGCGGCGACTATGGCTGCTGTTCGACGCCGACACCTGGACCACCAGCTGCACCACGGTCATCTCCGGAACACTCCACTCCAGCACCCCCAGAACAAGCACCCTAAGAGCGAGAACCCTCTCCAACACCGGTGCCATCTCTGAGTCCGCCGGGACAAGCCACGGCAGGAACCCCAGGACTAGCACCCTCCTCGATGCCAACACCCCTAGAGTCCACGAACGGCTGCGACTGCTGCGACGGCGGCGGCGGCTGCTGCAGCGGCGACGGCGACGGGGGAGGAGGAGACATCGGGGGAAGGACAGGCGGTGCAAGCTGTGCTGCGGGGCCACCAGAGTCAGCCGACTCCTCGACCGGGACGACCGACGGGAGGGGAGTAAGGTGAGACACACCAGACGGAGCAGGACGGGGAGGGAGGGGAGCAGGGGCGACCGGGGGAGTGGGAACCAAAAACAGGGGCGGCGAAACTGGGAGACGTCAGTGGGGAAAGCGGTGGTAAAAGGAGACATACTCGTCGAAAGTGGCTTGACGAGAGTGAAATAAGCGGTGAGATGGCGGGTGGTAAAAGTCCCAGTCAGATAAGGCAAGGGGGAAATCAAGGAAGACACAAGGGACAGTGCGGGAAGTGAGCTTGTCCGTGCCAGAGGCATGAACGTGAGCGAGGCAGCCTCAGACGTGGAACGCAGATGCGTCACCAGGGAACTCGGTCCAAAGAAGGGTCGGCGAAACTTGCGGCCGCTGGGAGCGTGGCCAGAGGTTAAGCCGGTGAGCGGCGTAGCGAACGGCGAACGGCCACAGAAAATGGGGTGCACCGGCATGTATCATGGAGGTGCCTCCATGACCAAACTGATGCGTCGCTCAGCGACCCCATTGTGCTGCGGGGAGTCCGGTAGGGTGTACGTCTGGGTGATGCCCTCTGCACGACAGAACTGACGAAGCCGACCAGAGGCGAACTCGCCGCCACGGTCAGAGTGGAGACACAACACAGGGAGACCGCGGTGGAGGCGTGCAGCTATGAACCACGGGATAAGAATGTCAGGCACGTCAGCCATCCGCTCCAGGGGAAACACCGTGTTGTAGCGCGTGAAGTCGTCGACGAGCACAAGAAAGTAGCGCTCGCGACGCGGTCCAGAGACGAGGGCTGGGCCCGAGACGTCCAAGTGCAGGGTCTGGAGGGGTGCAGTGGCAGGGCGAAGCGAGGAAGAGTGAGGAGCACAGCAGAGCCTGCCCTCGACGTAGGGCGTGCATGGCGGCGCAGGCGAGGGAGGGAGGGCAGGGAGCGACGCAAGGAGGCCTAGGACGAGACCGTGCTGAGACATGTGACGCAGACGCGGGAGCGCGGGGTGACCTAGGCGGTGGTGCCACAGAAGCGACGGGTGAGTGAGCGACCGATACGAGCAAGCCGCAGCAACATGGGTAGACACAGGATTGGGGGAGGACACGGCCACCAGGGGGGAAGCAACGGCCATCACAAACAGGGAACGTCGCAAGGGGGGCACCTGAGGTGATCTCGGTACAGACAGCGTACCGCTCGTAACCAGGGAACGTAGTGGTAACGCCGAGGTCCTGAAGACAGCCGACACCAACTAAGTTCTTGGAGAACGAAGGGATATGCAAGCCTGTAAGGGAACCCGAGGGAACCGCCGGACAGGGAAGGGTAATGGAGCTCCGAGCAACTACAAGACCAGAGGAGGGGTCAGCAAGTGCGACAGCGGCAGGTGCGGCAAGCGGCGTGAGGGTGGCGTGGTCGCGGAAGAAGCAGGCTGACGCACAAGAGTCAAGAGTGAAGGATAGCAAAGCCATAGTGGCAGACGAAGGAGGAGGCTAGACAAACCAAGCTGTCCTACGCCTGACGCAGTAGGGGAGTCTGGACTACACACAGGTGCTACGCCTAAGCTAGAGAACACAGGGTAATAAGATCCGGAAACACTTGAAGTGTTAGCATACAGAGAATGCAGGGCAGGAGGCCGAGGAGGGCCAGAGGCGTGCAGGGCCGGTGGGGCGAGAAGGGCCGGCGGAGCGCTAGTAGCCAGGAGAGCGTGTCAGGAGCAGGGGAGGTGACAGGCGGGCGCACGACTAGGAGCGACGGGCCGGCTAGGGCTCAAGGGGCGGGCTACTACTCGAGAGGCCAGCGAGGGCGCGAGGGGCTGACAAGGGCGTTAGGGGCCAGCTAGGGCGCAAGGGGCCGGCGACGGCGCAAGGGGCCGGCGACGGCGCGAGGGGCCAGTGAGGGCGCGAGGGGGCAGCGTGGGCGCGAGGGGCCAACGTGGGTGCGAGGGGCCGGCTAGGGCGCAAGGGGCCGGCGACGACGCGAGGGGCCAGTGAGGGCGCGAGGGGCCAGCGTGGGCGCGAGGGGCCAGCTAGGCCGTGAGGGGCCAGCGTGGGCGCGAGGGGCCAGCTAGGGCGCAAGGGGCCGACTAGGGCGCAAGGGGCCCGCTAAGGCGCGAGGGGCCAGCTAGGGCGCAAGGGGCCGACAAGGGCGCGAGGGGCCCGCTAAGGAGCGAGGGGCCAGCTAGGGCGCGAGGGGCCGGTAGGGGCACGA